CATCACTGCTATTATCGATGCATAACCAGCATCACGAGTCACTGTACAATTATCACAGTCAAAAATATTTCTGCACGTCATGTGGCAAACTTAAAGTGAGAAGTCACAGTTTGTGCTAAAGCATGAGGATTACAAAACCAAATCAACATTTACTGTAAAGATTTTGTAAATATACAGAAATACATTTCACTCTATATTTCTATCAAAGGTTTAGACATTACAGGGCAAAGGTTCACTTCTGTGACCTGCAGCCATGTGTCTTGTTTCAAGTTTCTGGTGACTCCGTTCAACTCTTGGCTCTCAGCTATCAGACAGAGCAGGAAAATCAATTACACTGAGGTTATTATTATTGCAGAAACTGTTAAAGGTTCATCATCTGTTGATTGGTCAATCAAGTGTTCTACTAATCTATTTTTCCTGTGGAGTAAAAGACATTTTCCAGACCTAACCTGCCCTTTAAACACAGCAACCTCGAATCCAAGCCTCACTCAAGCACAGAGCAGATATGTGGCTTGCATTGTACTTGCTCAGGTTAAGCAGTGGCTGGAAGGAAACACTAAATTCCTGTCTACGTCAAAGAAATAATCTACTGCTGCCGTCAAGTGCTATTGGAAACTAAGACTAAGTATGCACAGATTTGACATTGTACTGTTCAGTATACGTTTAGAAGGTAAATCCATTCAAGTTAGTTTATCCACCGCGTTAACGTTAAAGCATTTTCAGCCCACACTAGCTAACTTAGTAGCGTCAAACGACACAAAACACTGGTTCACTGTTATCACGAGACTACCGGCTGGATTAGAAAAGTAAGGAGTTCCACTCAAGGGTACAGCCATCTTTAACACACTTATAAGCCAGCCATCAAACACAGCTAGCACTGCTTGGAGCCCACCCTCTCGCCCTCCGGTTTGTCTTACCAAAAACCGGGTGGAGCTCGTGCCCTGATCAATGGCTGCAACCAGCGGCCCCAGCATTATTCGATGTGAGGACGCGGCCATGGTGCCATTCATGGGCGTGCCCAAAGCTTCGGCACCAAACTAGACGGGAAACAGGTTATCACTAACGTTACTAAAAAGTGACTTGACGTTGAGCTCATTCAAAGCACTCGGGTAGTCGGTCGCGGCCTTAAAACGTCATGCGTCTAGGCCCTCAGTGATGACGCACCCAGTTGAGTCCTTGCAACAATAAGAAAGTCATTTTACATCTTAGCCCGCCCTATACTTTTGTACGCATTTCCAGTAAGATACCAAAAAATACAGCGTGTCAGCCTTATGGAGTAAATCTTTTCCAGATCTATTTTGCGTTCCCTTTTTGCACTTTTGCCAAATGCAATTTGTTTTGAAAACGCAACCAACGTAGTAAAATGAAAGAGTTCACAAAATATTGCTTTTACGTGAGCTTTGGAATGATAAACTTTGCTTTACCCCACATAAAATAAGGATTTGGAAGTCCTATGAACCTCAATCATAGGATTGCTAGCGTGATTTGCTTGTTTTTTCGTTTGTTGATATCACATTTTAATTACTACAATTAGAGGATAAATTATAACTTCCCATACCGGTAGGCGAAACCAGGATTCCTAACCGCTATCACATGGGAACACAATCTTAAATATTCGATTACAGGCTTTATATAAGTGTAGGGTACTGACGTTAAATATTATCATGCTAAAGGGAAATGGCGAAATCAACGACACTCGTTTTAGTGTCATTTCATATAATTGGTCTATAAACAAATGGGATAAGGAGCCAATTGGACTGAAAAACGAGCATATGATTGGTGGATTTTAGTTCATGTAAAGCACGTTTCCATATTTATACAGTTCAGATCTCCTTTGGGCCTCGTGGGCAGGTAATCCCTGATGATGAGAGTTTTAATTTATTTATTTTTACACATTTAGTGTTCTTGTATCAGGGGAGCGCTTGTTTCTTTTTTTCCATTAAACAACAATGCAAGTCAATACAAGATTTTTCAGCACAAATTGTTACAACAGATGTATAACAGTGCATTTAGAGCACAACAGGACAAAAGTAGGCATATAATAAGGTGAAAAAGAATAACAGAACCAAACAAGTGAGAACAAAGAAAAGAAAATACAAAGAGGTAAAGCTATTCTGGTATAAAATTAAAACGTTTGAGCAGGTCAATGGTTTTGGTTCGTTTTTTGTTGGGGTGGTTTAATTGTGACAGTGTTTGGAAGTAATTGTTAGGATCAGAGGTGAGCGCTTGTTTCGTTTCAGCTCGTTTATGCAGCGCCTGGCGATTACGTCATCGGTGAGGGACAGTGTTGTCATTCTTGAAATGTGGGAAGCAGTTGTCTTTCAGTTTGGCTCTTTTTGAATTTTGTGTCAAATTTTAAATCATAAGACATAAAAATGTAAGTAATGAGATACATCGGGGAGGGTTTATCAAAGCCATATGTAGCACGGCCGGTGAATTATTCTCCCCTGGGCAGTATTTCAGATAGTTAGCCAAGTTAGCCATACAGACCAAAGGCAATCTAAGCTATTCGTGTGTTGGTATCCAACGTTAACAGCAGTTTTATGCATTTCCAGGGCTGACTACTGGAAGTCGCAACCAAGGAAATTCTGTCAGCACTGCAAGTGCTGGATTGCGGACAATAAACCGGTAAGTTGGCATGTTCATACGGTTCATTTTGGCTAGGGCAGTATTATGCTAACCTAACCTAACCTCCTTATGCTTGTTTTGCTCTGCAGAGCATTGAATTCCATGAAAGAGGGAAGAATCACAAAGAAAATGTGGCTGCCAAAATTTCAGAGGTTTGAACATGTTTTTCCTTCTCTGCTTATGCAGACACTAAATCGCTCCGTGTATAAGAACGGAAATGTTACAAAGCAGTGACTGACTATGCATACACTGAACACACATAGTGGTTCTCCGTGACACACCAGCATTAATACTAACACCCAATAAACACCTGCCTGTCTTGGCACCACTCTCAGGACTGGCAAGAGAGATAAGGTTTAGGCATAAACACGGTGCCTTGGAAGCTCTCTTCTGATTGGCTACTGACAGCTGTCACTCATTTCATCCTGTCCTATCTTTCTTTCTGCAGATTAAAAAGAAGAGCATGGAAAAGGCGAAGCAGGAGGAACGTATGTCTAAACAGTTTGCAGCGATGGAGGAGGCTGCGCTGAAGGCATATCAGGAAGATCTAAAGAGAATAGAAAGAGAATCATCAGGTAAGCGTTTGCCATTTTTATTTAAATTATGTGTAACAGGAGGAGCTTTTACTGGCTGAATATATTTAAATGAAGTCTGTTTGTGTTAGGCTCAAGTTCACCAGCCCAAACAACAACAACAACAACAACAAAGCCACAGCCTCAGACAAAACCCCAGCTGAAAAAACAGCAAAAGAAAGAAGTGAAAGCAAGGAAGAAGACCACAACGCAAACAGAAATGCCGATTTGGATTGAAGGACAGACAGATGATGGACGCACATACTATTACAACACAATAACCGACGGTGAGGAAACCTGAAAACACAGCGCCTCTTTGGCATGACAAGTGAAACTGTTCTTTAAACCAACATATTCCCATGTTGTTTTACAACATGCAGTAGTCATTGTATTATTGTCTATGCATTTAAACTACAGAATCTCAATGGGATAAACCTGAGGGTTTCCAGGGAGAAAGTTCTGCATCTGCACAGCCTGGACAAACTGAGGTTAATCTTGTTTCTGTGCATTTTTAGTACATTTTATTTGAAATCGCATTATATTATGTTCTGTTGATTGCTGATAACATGAATGTATACTGTCATGCTTTGTTTCTCTTCAGAACTCTTCAGGCTGTCCTTGGATGGAAGCCATCAGTCCTGATGGATATACGTATTATTACAATACAGAGACCGGAGGTGGAATATGTTTTTTGCATTTACATTTTAATTACTGTTTAATCCACTGATTTTCTGAGTGCTTTGCTAATGGATTCCATTGCTTATTTTATATGTAGATAGCTTCATGCTATGCCTTTCTTATCTTACAGAGTCGAGCTGGGAGAAGCCAGAAAACTTTCCATTGGCATCTGGATCTGGGTCTGAGTCCAGCAGAGAGGGACAGGGTCAGGAGGAGCCTTCAACCCCTCAGCCGGAGCCACTCTCAGGAGGAGAGGAGAGCTCCAACGGGACCCCGGTATCTCAGGAGGCTGAAGTCCATGAACAAGCCAACCAACAGCCCAGAGTCCCAAAGATCAGCTTCAGGGTGAGAGGAGTCTTGTCACTGAATGAATGTTTGTATAGAAAAATTGTAACTTTTGCTTTTCAAGATTCTATGGCAAAAAATCCAGACCTCAGTTTTCTTCCTCGTTTTGTTTTCAGAAAAGGAAAGCAGAGGCTGAGCCCTCAGAAAAGGAAGGAGAAGATAAAGCTAGTGAAGATACTCCTCAAGAGGATGCTAAAGAGATGAAAAAAGAGGAGAAGGTCCCATACACAGCTGACCCTGAGAAGAAAAAGGAAGAGGTGACACAAGGGGAGAGACGAGCCAAAAGGCCAAAAGTTGCCAATCCATATGGAGCCTGGGAACAGATCCAGGAAGAGGAGGATCCATAGTAAGTGCCCCATCTATACGTTTACAATTTGAAACTGTTTAAGTGCTGAATGGTTGTTTAGGATCCTAACAGAGTGTGTATTTGTTCACTGATTGATGTGCAGCCTACAGACCGTGAAACAGACTAAAAATGTGCGCCAGTAGCTGCTGACAGGGCTCTAACTGTTCTTTTTCCTTTCCTCTCCAGTGCCAAGGTGGACTTACAGTTGCCCCAGGTGGAAGGAAGCACAGCCAGTGCTTCGGCTGACCTGCCACCAGAGCCCAAACCCAAGTTCAAGGAACGCATCATCACCAGCCTCAGAGAGGAAGGCGGACCTGCTTCATTTAGAAAAAACAAAACACAGAACGGCAAATCCAGGAACCTCCGACAGAGAGACGAAGATGATTGACCCAAAGATACAAAAACTCAGGCAGAGTGCAGCAGAATGAGGCTTTTACCAAATAAAACTCTTTCTAGGATTTCTTTGACATTTGGATGCATCATTTTTATCTTTTAGGTGTATTCAGAATCTTTTGTTTTGTATTAACATTAGGACATACTGGCTTAAGAAACTTCAAGATGTGTATGCACAATCAGTGTTTATTACTTCTGTCATAATGAAGGTGTACAACACTCATTGTCTTCAGGTTGGTATTACAATTATTATAGAATCCAGGTATGATAGTTTTGAGAATGTGAAATTTCTTTCTGTTGTCTGGTGAATGCAGATGCACCTATACAGCGCAATTGGCTTTTTGTATGTTCCATATCCATATTTTTTTTTAACCTGTGTAAGTTATGAAAAGCTAGTAAGGTAAGTTGTGTTAACATAGTGGAGTTTTGTCAGTTAAAGTGAAAGGCTGTCATAGTATAAGATGGGAACATGTGGTCTCAATAAATAACTGTCCAGAGACTGAAAACTTTCTCAGTAAAGATCTTTTTCAAAATGCAACTGAATGGAGGCAATGTTTTTCTGCTACTACTGAACAAAGAATGATCATGAAAAAATCCAGCTGGCACACGCATGCAGGGTGTGACGTGCTTTGGGGACAGCGTGTGTATAAAGCTGATAGATGGTTTACCACACCCTGTTTGGCAACGAACCATGAACAGTGCTGATGTTTGCTTATGCTCAATGTAAAAAGTCAACTTTACATTACTTGTATTTAATTACTATAATGTTATTTTAACTACTCTAAACATTTTAAAGGCCTGTCCTAAAAAATAAAGCATTGTTTGGGGAATTACAATAATACAAAATCCATTTTAATATTTTATTACAAAAATAAAAACCTCTTAGTTATGACTGATGGCTGCAGTTTGTCTCACATTGCATCCTTTGTAATGTGACTATTACAGAAGCATACATGTAAACTGCAAAATGAATACAATATATGGCTCAGCTCAGGCATGTAGCCACAGCACTTTAAGATGCGTCAGAGAAATACATCCAGCAGATGACACACAGTCCACTTGACAGTAAGGGGCAGTGGGTGTCAGTCTCCACAGTGTCTGGTCTCTGATCATTTTGTACTGCTGCTGCTCTCCACCAGCTCCAGAAGAGCCTCCCTCCTTGCGTGTTCAAGTACGTCAGAGATCAGATCATCGAGAGCCTCCCCTCCTCTCATGAACTCCTAAACATGGTCCAGAACACATGCAAAACTGAGTAAAGAAAAAGAGTTGGCATAAAAAAGGTAATACAATAAAGATGCAACTATTGCTGCTGCTTAAAAATTGCAAAATAACAAATACAGAGCTTTGAGACACACTGTCACTCTCTTAATATCTAACCTTAATATCTCTAGTAACATATCCAGTCCTGTGGTCTGTGACACGATCCTGGCTGAAGTTGTAGGTTCGAATCCTGTCTGACTGTGATCGTGTGCCCACCTGTAGTTAAGGACATGAGAAATATGACCTAGTTTAAAAAGGTCAAAAATGTGTGAATTACATTCATTTTCTGGATAAAAATGTAAAGTTTTGGGAAAAGCATTTACTTACCTGCTGCTTTCGTGCTGTATGCCTGTGCTCAGTCTCTTTACCCATAATGCTCTGGTAGAGCCTGGCCTTCAACACATGCATGGCGGTGTCTCTGTTTTGCAGCTGAGAGCGAGTCTGCTGACACTCAGCTGTTATTCCTGTAGGGAGGGTAAAATAACCATGGCAACAAGGCCTGATGTTAAATGACACGAAAGCAGAACTGTCTGGAGCCTGGAGTAGCTTGAGGACTCTTTTGGCACATTTTACCAGTGGGAAGATGAACAATGCGCACTGCGCTGTCTGTTGTGTTGACACTTTGGCCCCCAGCGCCCCGAGATCTGAATGTGTCAATGCGAAGATCCTTTGGATCAATGCTGATGTCAAACTATGAACACAAAAGGACAGAAATAGAATGTTTTTCATGCTAGCAAACAGACTGATGAAAAGCAAGTGAAGAAGAGTGAAGAGCTGTGTGTACCTCCACTGGCTGAGGCAGGATAATGACAGTCATGGTTCCTGTGTGGATGCGCTGCATCCTAGAGGAGAGGCCCACCTCAGGGATCCTTTGCACCCGGTGTGTTCCTCCTTCATGCTTCAGATGTCTGTACACATTTTCCCCAGCAACTCTTACTGCTGCATGGTGCAGACCACCTGAAAGACACAAGTATTATTACTGCAGCTACAACTGACATATCAAAATACCTGCTTTGAGAAAACATCAACTTCAGTCGCAGTTTTTCCCCTGGCCACATGCATACCTCTCTGCAATGCTTTGCACCCACCACTTTAGGAACCATTGAGATAATAAAGGTTATATGTTAAACCTACTCTGCAATTCTGTGAAGATAAATTGATATAGAAATAAAGAACAAGCAAGAACCAACACAGTCCTGACACTCCCAGATACCACTAAGGGCCAAATGCTGAAAACTGAGGCACTTCACTAAAAAACTAATTTTTGCAAAAACTCAGAGGGTGAATGATATAGAAATACAGGTAGAAACATGACTCACCGTACTCAGCAGGTGTGTAGTTGTAAATCTCAAAGTCCCAGTTCTTATAACAAGCAAAACCCTGGTACATGTCAAGCATCTCTCTGGTGAACTGCTGACAGATGTCACCTGACACCCCATAAACAGAAAGTAGAAAGTATTAGAAAACATTTTAGATATGTGCTAAGTTATATTTATGAGTGTAAGAATGCAACATTAAATCATTAATTATTATTAAATTATTTGCAAACTGAAAGCCCAGCTGTATTCAAGTAAGCAAGTAGTAGAAAAAACTGTTTGCATTCTTTCATACCTCCTGTTGTTCGTCCCGATACAACCTCCAAAAGAACATCGCTGGAGTCAAGAGGGTCAGTGGGCACAAGAGCTTTGATCAGCTGGAGAGAAAAAAGATGCACTCATTTAGTGAATATTCTACAACACACTTCTGATTATACATGCACACATGCAATAGATGTTGTGTGTGCAAAACAAAGTATGGACAACCAGGATGACAATATTACAGCTGATAAACATGTGAGAAGAATATGATCCAGGAGGATATTATGCAACTTCCAGGTGCTGCAGACAAACAGGAGCTGAGTCATGCAAGCTATTCATCTCCATCTTACATCTTTTCTTAAAGTTAGAATGTTCTGGGAGAGTTCAGCTTCCTCCTCTTTCAACAGCTGGGTCAGTTCATCTTCATCTCTGGCACCAGAGGAACCTACAGTCATAGGGAAAGCAGAATGTGGTATTTGCCTCGATGCTATTTGCAATTTAACAAAAACGTCGCTAAACTTGTCAGGTAGGTAACATCTATCATAATGGACTACTGCCCATTACAGCTGTAAATAGATGATGAATGTTCTGACAAAAGGCATCAGGTACTTATTTGGCTACAAACATAGATGCCAATTATTTATACAGGTTGTATTAATTTTATACTACAACTGTATTGTTTAAGTGTATGATGAAAAAAAGTAAAACATACAACACCTTTATTAAGGATATTCTAATATGGTTTCATAATTTTAAGACATTTGATAAACTCCCAAGCTACCTGAGAAACAACCTCAAAGCCTCTGTGGACTTGAATTTTCTCTGTCATTACCAAAGCATTACTTGTATTTTTACACTTGTTACTGGCATAAATGCAAACCTCCTCACCACGCAGAAGTGAAAGGACTTCATCAAGGTCTTTCTGGGCTTCTTCAATACTCCCAAACACATTTGCCAGAGGCAGCAGCTCATTGTGTTTCTTTGTAAGCACTTTTCTTTCTGACTCGCTAAGGTGTGCATGCTCTAACGTCTTGCTAAGGTCTCTGTATTCCTCCATGAGCTGCTGAAGATACCTCTGAACAGACTCATTATCGTACAAGTCCCCAGAATTACTGTGGTATAGGCGTCCTGGTGCTACCGTGTCATAGTGTTGCACCTCTGTGATGTTAACATGTCTCAGACTGCTGTGTCCTGTCAATGTCCTCCATCCTCTTCTTCCTGTGCTGCTGTAAACTACACGGCTACACAAACAGCACAGTCGAAACCACGGATTGACGAGCATCTGACTACTTTTAGAGAACAACCAGTGCAGTACAACTATTTTTATATGTGTTGTTCATCTCTTTATAACAACTGTCGAAACCCAATGCTACTGAAGCTAACAGAAAAATAGACCGGATGTAATTTGGATAACGAGGTCGAGGAGACTTGAGAAGTGAATCCTGGGAAGTGTAGTTAACTGACACTTGCTTTGTGCGTAATACATATGTTTAATTTTTGACAGATAACAGATTTCAAAATGTCCAACTTGAGTGTCAGTGAAGATGGTAATATGATATTAATTATTTAAACATGTGTACTGGCAAAACTAATAAATAAAATTAGCTTCAGTGTTTAAGTAGCCTTCAAAAGGTGATCTAGCTAACTGAACAAATAACGCTAGCATATAAGCTAAATATTTGGCTAATATTAACTCATTTTAGACTTGTTTTGACATTAAATTTACAGGGATGTCTAAAATGAAAAGATCACTGTTGGAAATACTATTTGCAAGACTTAGATCACTGGCTGGCAATTACACTTAAGCATTTAAGGATAAATGTGATTGCTAGTTACATTAACAGTCTGCGGCTTTAACAGAAATTTTAATACGCTTTTACTAAGGAACACAGGAGAATCTTGGGTTTTCATTAAGCAAAGCAGTGGAGGATGTCAGTCAACACGGCTATGTCCAGATTGAGGCCCTGGGGGAGAAACAGAAGACACTCAGCTGCCTGCAGGTTCATCTTCACTCTTTATTCCCTTTAGGCTCAATATAATGCTGCTTATAAACCACATTTTGTACTTAAAACAAGGCTGTATATTTTATATTATAGAAACTGGTATCTTGGTCATCAGGTGGGCAATGTAATTTGTGAGAAAACATGTATGTACCAGCCCACAAACATTGGAAATCCTAAATAATTTTAAAAATCAACACCTTTGCAGCCTTAGCATATCAAAAATATATTTTTCTGGGGAGTAGACAATGGTTTGAATGCATTATGCCTCATTTTCCAGGCAACTCTTTCAGATGCTGAGAAGAAAGGTGAGAGGGCAGAGCAGGAGCTGAGATCTAAAGTGAGGGAAATCCTAGTGCTGGAGGGGGGGATAGAGCACCTGGAGAGGCAGACTGAAGTCCTGCAAGTTTGTTGTGCATCCATCAGCAAGGACAACACGGAACTTCAGATTCATATAAGCGAGGAGGAAGAGAAGGCTCGCATGGCAGTGGAAGTGTTCACCATTTACCGAAACAAGATGGAGAGTCACAGAGCAGATGTTCAGCGTGTGGCGAGCCAGACGGAGGCCCATAAAGAGCTTGAGGAGAGAAGAGCCCTGGTCAGGATGCTCACACAGAAGAAAGATGACCTGAAGGAGGATTTGGAGAATCCAAATGGAAAAACAGTGCAGTTGGCAAAGGTGGAGATAATAAACAAGGGGATCCTGAAAAATGTTGAATTTTAAACTTCTGATAACATGTCATTTGTTTTTTGGTCAATAGCATGTGTCCCTGAATGACAAATCTGGCTTGCTTTCTTTTTCTTTGCTCTTTCGGTCCATTTGTTTGTTTCCATAGAGTTCTGCAGTATCCATATGTATTTTATTATTTTGCATTTGCTTTTCTGCAGAGAGAGATTGATGCTCTGAAGGGGAAGATTGCTGTGATGAGGAAGACCATAGCTGAGAAGAGGGAGCATTTACAAAAAGAGTTTGAGACTCATACTCAAATAAAGAAAGATATAGAGGTGTGGCAAAATGTATACTAGGGTAGCAACCAATGAATAGATCAACATAAATTAATCTACAAAGCTGGGCTTCAAAATCTGTAACATTTTAGGTGTTGCATTGAAAATTACCTTAACAGAACAGTTGCAGATTAATTTTCAGAGCAACACAGCTCTAATTTAACTGTATATAGTGAAATCCTATAACTCTACTGATACATCATCTTGAATAAAACTATTGTGACTCAAGCCCATGATCATAATTTGACTTCTTGTTTCATCTCCAGTGAAAACTTCCCAAACTGAATTTTGCTTGCTCCCTCAGATCCAGAACAAACGCTACGAAGCCATTGTCAAGCGTCTCCACTGCCAACTGAGCAGGGCCCAGGCTGCCTACAGGTAAAAATGGATACAAATAAAACACCAGTGATAATATACCATCTATATTTACAACAGTGAAGTGCACATATACACTTATTTAGGGATGGGAATTTTAATTAACATTTTGTGTAGCTGTTTATTCTAAATTTAAGGATAACATCACAGAAGTAAAATAATAGAAGTAAAACATCACAGCTCTGAGGAAAGTCACTTCCTGTACCAATATAAACAAATTCCCACTTTTCTTACAGTTACTTTTCATTTCTTATACTTTGTCAGGAAGCTATTGGAAGGCAAACTGATCCTAGTGCAATAATGTTCCACATATTAAATTCTACTAAACTGTGTCTGCTTCATTTCAGACAAATGTCTGAAGATATCTACCACATGGAGAGACAGCTAGCTGAGCTGAAGCGGCAGCAGGAGTCATCACAGGATTCAGATCATTAAACTGTAATGTCTGGCTTGTCTAATTGGGATAAACATGCTTTATGATACCATCTTATCTGAGTTAATTAAGTTGGTGTCAACCTGTATATTGGGCCTGTTTGTTAAAAGAGGAATCGTTGCTGTTACTACAGATGAACAACTGAGGGCAGCAATGTCAACTAAATGTTTGTTAACTCATGACCCACTCACCTGTTAATATCAGACAATGTGACTGTGTTTCTTTAAATGCACTGGTTTTGTCATAAAGGAACCATAAGTATTAAAACATTTATTTGTTGTCACATCATTTGATTTCCTGTGATAACATCAGCAGGGCGTGGGATGGGATCTTAGCTCAGGTGGTGACAGTGACTTGGTTTGCCCAGTGAGTGTCAACACCACTGACCCCTGCAAAGCGAAAGCCAAAAGACCACTCTCTAACTGTCAATGGGATTTTGGAACATGCTGCTGTAGCTTCCGCTTCACTGCGTCGCTTGATGGTGTGCTAGATGACAGACCTGCTGTCGGCTAACAAGGGTGTGAGTGTGCTACTTCAGCCATAACTCAGAACTAACTGAACAATGAAATCACCTTTTCACAACATTATTCCACATTAGAATAGGTTTCGTCAGCTTCTGTCTGCTAACCACCAAAACCTGTGACATCAAGTGTGTTTCCAGGACAGAAAAGCACAGGTTTCTTTCTGAATTTGTTTAGACTATGTCTCTTTGCATTATTGTTAGTTATATAAAGCTAATAAAATATAGAAATATATGCAAGTGTTGCAGAAATGTTGATTTTGCTTAACTAAAGCCCAAACTATAGCAAATTTATAGCAAAACTCTTAAGGTTAAAGAGGAAAATACCTTGACATAATTTTCTTATTCACAGTTTTTTTTCTATGTGAACACTGATGCTTTGACCATGTGTTCCTCAGGTGTTTCTGCTAACACTGTAGAATTTATAGTAAGAAAACACTACAAGGATAGTTTTTGGTCTTTTTGATTTTGTGAAGTGTGTATCTCCTGATGATCAGCCACTAAATAGCAAAATGAACAATTTAAAGACACATACACAGCTGCTGGACATTTCAAAATGATTTTTCATTAGATATTTGTGAATAGTTATCAGTACTGTACAACAAACCCACAGTACCTACAGTTTCATTTTCCAGTCAAGGAATCTGGTTGAATGTGTGAGCTAACGGACAATGCATGATGAATCACCCAAAAGTGAGCCTTGTCACCGGCAGAGTACATATACAGTATTTATCCCCCTCTGAGTATTGTATAGTACAAGCATGTGCATGTACACTCCTGACAGTGCACCCTTTTAAAATACACTGCTGTTTATTGCAACGCTTTTTTAGCCTTGATTCCCTTTTGTTAATTTATTTTTACCACATAACAATAAACTTTAATCTCATAATGTAGCCACCATTACTGCTCCAGACACTATGCCAGAGTGGGGAGCTGTTAAAGTGAAACTGTGCATTATTTGTTTCCACCACATTAAGGCAAGTTATGTATTTTCAAGCACATTGTGTTGCACTTAAATAACAACCGGATCCTACTCTGAGGAGTCGTTTCTTGCAGCAAGTACCTTTGTAAGCAACTCTTTAAGTAAATGCCATCCATGTCCTCCCGGTTCAAGCTAATTAAGCGTAGCTAACAGGGCAGTGAATTTAGCACCAGCCTTCTACCACATGCTGGCTTTGTTTATTTGGCTGCAGCACATTTGTCAACTCTAATTTGGCATCAGCTATCATTTTAAAACACACTTGGCTGCTGAAATAGAGAACAGTGAGGGGGAGTTTAGGGATTTACCAGCCTGTGAGAACAAAATAGACTGATGAACAGATGTCAGTTTTAAGATTTTTTTTTCCTTTTAAAGATAAAACAGTCAACTTTCTTCAGGTATATCACCGATAAAGGCCATTTTTATAGCATAAGGATGTCATTGTTGATAGAAAATGTAATTTATTCATATAAAACAAACTTGATTTTGATTTCAGGGCCATATAAAATCATACAGTTATACCTGTAGTCACTACTTAAGGCACTGGCTTCAGTTTTGGGGTAATATTTTTATCTTAGTCACAGACAAGACAGATAGTGAACACACAAATATTACATTATCTATCAAAAAAAAAAACACCAGATGTTTGTAAAGGGAAACTGAACGAATTTTAACTAGGGATTTGTTTTGGCCTGTAGCTGAATGGATGAATGAATGATTACATAATGCTGGATGATAAACTCCTGCAGGTTTTGTTTTTTTATGTATTGTTGATGTCAAGCTATAAATCTTTACATTATAGAAGCAGGACAGAACGGGCAAGCTGTAATTCTCTGTAACACCCCGATCTCCGCTGCAGTTTGTTTTACACCATCAGAGCTCTGCGTTCTTCCCGTTAAGGTGTCACTCCATCTTGTGCATGGCTAAGTATGTCTGAGTGACACATTTATAGCTGGCTGTGCCTGCTCCTGCTCACTGCACAGATAGTATGAGAATTCATTTTGTGCATGCCTCGACTGTTTGGTTGTGTGTAATAAATTCCTAAACTCTTTCTATGGCAGCTTAAGGTATATTTACTGCAGAGCTTGGCAGAACTCCTCTGAAACACAGTGGTAGAAATAGCTGATGCACCATGGGGGTGTGTTTATTTTGCTGAGTGTGTGAATTAACTAAACTGCATGAAATTCTCTTTTGTTTTCCAAAAAATGTCTGTTTTGATTTGCACCTGTGTGCATTTGCAATGTCTGGTTTCCAGGTACACCTGCACCATATGTGTTTGTGCATGTGCAAGTGTGCACACATGCATAGTGGAGCTTAATCTCTGATGTCTGTGACACCCATATTGAAAAAGTCTTAAGATAATCCTCCACTTAGGAAAAAAATCTCTTTCTTCAAGCACTGCCATTCATCTGCTTTGGACAGATCACATTCCTTACACATCAGTGTATCACCTGGTGTTGCTGCATCGCCTGCCATTTAACAAGCTGCCTGCCTGCTTTCTCAGACTGTTTTTCCACAGCAAAGTACATCTGGGGACTGCTCCAAGAAGCAGGCTGTTTAAAGTGGGTTATCTGGAAGAGCTTTCTGAGAAAAACCCAGGTTCCAGATGCTTCCAGTGTTTAAGTGACAAAAGTATTCAGCGGTAAAGAGTAAACCTGCTTCTTCGACCTGGATACTGTATTTAACAGTCCACCAGAATATTCCACAGATCACTGGGTTTAGGTTGCAGTTTAAATTTTGAAAACTAGAAACAAGAAATTCACTTGAAATATGCCCCAAATTATCATTTCCTCTCCTCCCAAGGTCACAGCAGTCAGGAGTGAGTGTTTGTATCAGTTCACAGAGAAACCTACATTTCATTGCTGCCAGTACTTTATTAACTGCAACCTTCAGAAGTTTAATCTTTCTCTAGATCCAGAATACAGCAATTTATGGCCAGCTTGATTTACCTCCAGAAACCTGTCAGTCAAAAGTACACAACTGAATGTACCAAAGAATGGAAACGCATTTATGTGGAAGTTCAGTATACAAGTTAAATGATGTTAACCCATTATCTGGCCACAAAGAGGGGGGGTCAGGCCATGCCGTCATAAATCTTCAGAGCCCCACAATAAGCAACATCCTTTTCCAGACCTAACCTGCCCTTAACACAAAGCATCCCTGAACCTTATCCTCACCCATGCAAACAGCAGATATGTGGCTTGACACACAGCATCTGCATTGTATTTACTCAGGTTAAACAGTGGTTGGTCTGACTGGCCTGTAATGGGAGTCACCTCTGAGAAACAGGTCCACTCAGTTGTCCAATCACTAACAACACTGTTCGACCAAGACTGTCTAACAAAATAAGACTTAACAATTCCACTGAGTCTAACTGTATTATCATCAACACCAATACAAGTTCTGTGTGGGTGTAGGAGTGAAGACAAGTCTACAGGGTCATCAGGTGGGCACCCTCTCACTAACTGGTACTTTGTTGAGTTGCACAGGCAGTTCCAGCATCCCAGAACCATCTCGTCTTTGCCTGTACCCACATACACTAGCCCTGCATCTAATCAGGCTAAATCAGGCTAACTGTTACTAAACAGTTACTTGCACTAGCAAACATTTCAACTGCTATTCTAGCCACCAAATATTTACAATAACTGCCCAAACATTTCAGCTAACTCACCAGTTATCTAGTTAAACCTCTGCTACCTTTTGTTCTACATCAGAAACCACCCTGTGTTATCATCTACTCCAACAAACCAGTCAAACTTCTACTATGTCCTCATGTTATCGTATTTACCTGGTTTTGTTTGTTGAGGTAATGACTGTCTCTGTAATGTTAGCCAGACAGCTCTGTTCACAAATTCATGAGACAGATCTGGTCTGTGCCAGGGCAGGGAAAATAGTGTGCACGGATAAGCAAATTAAAAGAGGTAAGGAAGGGGCATCCCTCAGCAGGCAGGGCTGAACACACAGGGGAAACCACTAATTGCTCCTGCCGGTCCTTGTTAGACTGAACAGCATGTTCACCAGTTTACCAATATAACCTGCTGACTTTTTAAACCGCCTGCCTTATTTTCATGTTGCTCAAACAAAAGCATTTAGTATGTGATTCAGCTCCTTTGTAATTTAAACAAGCCCACTTGCTGAGTCACAAGGGTGTTTAAGGTGTCTAGATTCCCCTTTCCTTGGCATTGTGTTCATAGAAACCAAGTAAAGTGTTCAGAGCTGTTTTAGGGTGTGGTTGTACATTTGTCAGAGGTATGCTTTGATTTGCATATGCACAAAATGGTCCACAGTTAGTTTCAGGAATGTGGGAAGAGAGAGCATGACATGGCAAAAATAGCCCAGGCCAAAAACAGACGTCATAAACGAAACCTTGAACCCACACACACACACACACACACACACACACACACAACAGTGCTCCACCCTGATATATACCTGAGCAACGCAAACAAACACACATACACTTTATAGTTTTGGTTTCTATGACAGCTAACAGAGCAAGGTTAAAAATGCATGTTGTGACAAGTTCAGTAACTGTTTGTCCTAAAATGAGCTTAAATCCTATAAGCGTGTTTATAGAAACACAATCACCTGCCTCCATATAGTGACACAAAATCTAGCATATAGTGAATTATTTATATGAAAATGAGTCGGGAATCCATTTGCACACACACACACACACACACACAGTATATACAGCATACTGGGTGTGATATGTTTGATTCCACTGAACATCTCCAGAGACAGTGCTTCACAAATGGTGTCATCCTTATAAATGCTGCTGAGCATTTTAAACCCTGCAACACTAATCACTTACTAAACTAAAAGTAAAATACACTTGGAAATATTCTTTTACAAGTAAAAAGCTTGCATTCAAAATGTTACTTAAGTAAAAAATATGCTCTCAGCAAATGGCGGTTCAAGTATCAAGTGTCTGATTATTTATTATGCTGGTTTATTATTGCTGATTCATTAACGTGCAGCTGGCTCTAGTATGTTTAAGTTTACCCTGTTTTTCACTGTTGGGTAGGTTAATTTACTGTACTGATTGACAAATTGTTGACTAGTCAATCAATAGAAGATTAATCTGCAAGTAATTTGATAAGTGAGTCATTGTTACAGTAATTTCTTTTAAGGAAAATTAGCATAGGTTTACTGGTTCCCGCCTCTAACGTGTGAATATTTTT